AATATAATTCCTTTTAAGGAGAGCTAATGAGCCTCACCACTGTTGGCTGTTGGTTCCGTTTTACTTCCCCTACAACTGTAACCAATGGAATCAGAATTTGGACTCTGTAGTTGATTTTTAGTACTGACTCTTTTTGTCTCTGGCACAACTGTGAACTGTTTGCTGAGAAGTTTTGAGGGTTTTGAAGTTATATTTAGTGAGGATGATAGAATTATGCTTTTGTTGTTGTTAATACTGGTTTTTTATAGCCTTTATGCATGAGTGACCTTCCTTTGCCTGTTCTACAGTTAGGCATAGTTTGTGCTAGAGTCTAAAATTATTATTATATGACAGAAATACTTTTTTTTTTTTAGTTTTGCAAGGAAATTAGAGATGCTGGGAAGGGCACTTGTTCTGTGCCAGTGTTTCAGAATGCTGAACAGCAGGACTCAGGAAGCAGTGAGGCATTTGGTCTGATATTAATCTCACATTAAAAGAACAGAAGATGTGATCCAAGAACATGCTGTTAATCAACATGTTGCTATAGAAATGAGCTTGTGTGAAAGGAACGGACTTCAGATCTTCTGGATATATTAAACTTCACTGATAATGACATTATTATAATTAAAGTGTTACATGACTTTTAACCAAATTATTTTTATTTAAAAAAACCCAGACCATAAAGAACAGAAATAACCCCAGAAAAATAAACATTTTGGTTTTTTTGTTTCAAATTTTGAGTTAAACACAAAGAACATTTAGAGATGGCTGATATCTTGACATAATCTTTGCTTGATCAGTGCCAAGTGTCTGTGCATAGTATGGCACATGTTGGACTTGATAATGTTCAGGATCTTCATAAGATAATCAGGACATAAACAGAGCTTACAGTTTCTTTATTGGCAGTAATGTCAAATTAGGGTGATGTGCAGAGCAATTATACTGACCAAATTTATTAATCTGAGCGAATAAGTAGAATATTAAGAATAAGCTGCTGCCTAATGTGAGTTGTAGTGGTTGCATTGACCAGCTGCTCTCTCCAAGAAGGAGACAGTGTGACCTCATGAACTGGACAGCAGTGGGTAAGAGTGCTCGGTCTGTCACGTGTGTGGCACTCATGACACTGTTACTGGACTCTCATTGTTCTTCCTCCCTAATCCTATAAAAAAAATGATATTAAAGTAATTTGTAGGAAATGGCCATTACTTTGATGTTAGCCCATTTCAGTAGAACAGTGCAGGCAGGACTGCAATGTGCAGTTAAAGGGTTCCCTCCCCCACAAGGAGTGTAGTTAAATATTCAACCATATAATCATTATAAATGCCTTTAAAGTGCCTTGTGTTTATTAATCTGGAACAAATATACATTTATAGGGTTTTATTTCAATAGTGATTGCTTGGGTAAACACTCACACCTTACATTTAAGTCCTCTTGCACATTAGAGGCTTTGTTTAATAGATTGCTACCTTTGTTTAATAGATAATGGTAGAACAGCCACCTGCAGGTCAGGGAACAAAGATTGGCAAGGTGCAGAAAGGAAGAGGGAAGGTGGTACTTGACCTCATCCCAATTTAAGTGTTGTTAAAACTGAGGCAGAGTCCCACATTTTTATGCAAAGGAACTCTGCCTCAGTAAAATGAAGAAAGAAGCAGCTTGTTAATTCGTGCACAATAATTTAGTGAAGCGCGTCTTGCTAAAACTAAACAGGTTTTGCCTTTCCCAACAGCCTCATCCTGGGCAGTTGAATTCAGTGGGGTTCTCCAGGAGTTTCAAGGAAATACCAAAATTATTTACTGAACTTGTAAGCCCTCTTGGTATTGGGGAGTAGGGCTCAGGGGAGAGAGGAGGTTGTGAGAGAATTATGGAAAAAGTAATTAAAAAAACTTATTCTTAAAAAAAATTCACTTCTTGATAACTCTACCTTGATAGTTTATTACATTTAAAGTTCTGTAATTAGTTTGCAGATGCCGAAGGTTATTTTGCTGCTTGTACAACAGATAACACTGTTAACAGTTCTCTGGTAAGTGCCTGAGTTTGTGAAGGTCAGTGCTTTACAATAACGTGGCACCACTAACCTGAATTACAGATTTTAAAATATGGTAGTCTTAAATGTTACAGTTTTTGGCAAGGGGGATTGGTAACTTTTAGGTTACTAATAAGTGCTGCAAATGATGACATGGCTTATTATAAGAAATACAGGTTTCTCAGCTTAATAAAACGTTTGAATGTTTCTGTAGCAGTTTGTCAAAGAAATACTATGTCATACAAAGGAAATCTTTAAATATTCAGCTCAGTACCTGCCAAAGCCACATGTGGAGAGCTGGTGGAAAAGCCAAACAGTTTTCAAGTCTAAAATACAGCAGAATCATTCAGTCAGTGGAGTATTTTGTACACTATGATCCTGCACTGCATTTTGAGAGAGAAACAGGCTCAGTTTCAGTGTGAGTCCTGGTCACGTGCTGATAAGCTGCACTGCCAGGCAGCATTTTTGTGGTGATTTTCATCATCCATAAATGACAGTTATGCCCCTTTTGGTCACAGATTACTGCCTAATCAGTGTACCTGAATCAGAGGGCCAAATGCAGAAATATATCCAAACCCCAAAACTTTTAAAGTTTACACCATCTCTGTAACAGAGTAGGGGGATGCAACTGAGTTGAAGCAAGATTATTTTCAGACATATTCTTAGTTTAATTTTTGTTGGGTTTTTTTTTCCAACTTTATTCATCTACGTTTAAGAATAAAATCTTAGTCTGCCCAATTTTTTCAGATCACCTCATTCTAGAATCTTGGCCAATTTTGCATTAATTTAAGCATCCACAAAAAATCTGGTCCTAAACAAGGAGCCTAATGAAAATGCAACTACCAGATCTTTTTCATTACTTCAGTCTTACAGTGTATTAATTTATCTAAACAAGCAGCTTAAAACTTGTCTTGTTAGCAGAAGTTTTAATTGCTTAAAATACTTCTAAATGTCTTATATGTTGGAGTTCCTTTCCCCAAGTTTTGTCATGCTTAGTTCTAGTTTGTGAGAAAATGAATACATAGTAATTTTATATTTATATTCTGTATTTTCTAATTTAAGTTTCTAATTTATAATTTGGACAGAAGCTATAGTTTTAATAAACATCTGTGATATTGATCAGTTATTTTGTAATTTTAAATCAGTAGGTTTGAATTTTCTGGTCATAATTTTTGTGTTCATGACTATATACACAGACGTGCACTGTTCTTCCTGAATACTGCATTTTACCAACATGTGCAAATACTTTAAGTACATTATGCATGCACATTTTTCACAAGTCTATCCACTGTGTTCAAACCCACTTTTCAGTTTGATTCTGTTACTATTCACCAAGCTCTTCTTTATTTAGTTCTCAAATTTGCTAAATTAGTTCTATTGCTTGTAATTTAAATATCCCGCTTAACTGTATTTTTACTTATACTGATTCATTGCAGAGTGA